GAGGAGAGTCAGAGGGGGACAGACGGGAGGCGGAGGAGAGTCAGACGGGAGACAGACGGGAGACGGAGGAGAGACAGAGGGGAGACAGACGGGAGGCGGAGGAGAGTCAGAGGGGGACAGACGGGAGACGGAGGGGAGACAGACGGGAGACAGACGGGAGACAGACGGGAGACAGACGGGAGACAGAGGGGAGACAGAAGGGAGACAGACGGGAGACGGAGGGGAGCTGGTGGAGCGACTGACGAGACCAGAGCTGTAACAGGTATGGATGGGAGCTGGCTCAGAGTCAGAGGTACAAAGGCAGTGTCCCAGAGGTGAGCTGACGGTGAGCCAGAGGCAAGCTCAGAAGGACAGCTGGAGTTAATGCCTGTCGAAAGCATCGATTACAAGTACTGATGGAAAGATCAATCAGTGATCACTTACAGTTTTGCCTACTTTTTGTCAGCGAAGTTACTCTGTGACACAAAGAGCGCGGCATTAGAAGCTTCGTGCACTTCAGTTATCTAGAGAATGTACGCTGGTATTTCGTGGTTCGGAAGCTAGTTTCAGCCATCGCAAAATTAAGCAACACCCGCACATCATCATGGACCTGAGAGCAATAGCGTGTCGACTACGTTTTTCCGCGCAGCCTGTTGACCGTCGTGGCGCGACGGCGGCAAATATGGCGCGCGGGCGGCGGCCAAAAACAGCGGCTCGGCGCGGCGCGGCGGCCAAAAACAGCGGCTCGGCGCGGCGCGGCGCGGCGCGGCGCGGCTCGGCGCGGCGCGGCGCGGCGCGGCGCGGCGCGCCGACGGCCTCTGGTCGATGCTGCAAACACCACGGTCGGGAATCCCAAGCGTCCGAGCTGGCCGGCGGGCGGCCGCGCGCGCCGGAGATGGGAGCGTAGATCACCGTCTGCCGGGCGGCGGCGCCGAGCAGCCGCGTTACCGGCACTCAGGGTTGTATACCAATCAAGTCGATTGAATTGATTGATTTGTTTCAACGCGTATTTTGAGTTGATTGGATTGAGTCGATTGACTTTTCGAGATGACTGGTTGACTGACTCGTTTGACTTTAGCGACTGGTTGACTGATTTGATTCCCGAAAATTAGAGTGACTCGTATGATTGAGTCGATTGAATGGAAAGTTCAAATAAGTTTTAGTTGACAAAAAATAATGACACCAATTGATGACACCAAAGATCACAAAACTACACTGAAAACTGCTTGTCATCACAACTGCAATATGGGGTAGATGGCCAAGTAAAGAAGAGGGCCTAAACAACATGAACAGCCAACGTTGACTTTCAACTGCAATAACTCAGTTATTGCAACTGCAATAACTGAACTGCTCCAATCCTGGTGATAGAGCCTGGCGATGCACCTACCTTCCTTTCTGCACTCAGCAGGAAACTTTTTTTTTTTTAAATCCAGATGATAAAGTGCAAGGCCCTATATACTAATAAAGTGTGATTAATTAATAATTAACATCTCCACATCTCCTCAGAAACAACCCACTGAACTCTATAAATATCTGAAACCCCTACAAAAATAACTGAAACAAAAGCGCCGTTTTCGTCTCGCTGATTACGTTTACGTACAATTGATAGCTACTTTGCTGCATTGTTTAATTTGCAGCAGAATGTTTGTTGATCCTTTTCTCCTGAGAGCCTAAGCATAACATATTTAATATATTTCATTTTCCTTAAAATATTTTACCGAATATTATTAAGTGTTTTATTTCAAATGAAATAATAATTAAAACGAAATTGGTGCTGTACAACCGATTTATTTTATGATGATCTACCATACTACATGATAATCAATGACGTCATCTTACCGCAAAGTCAAAAGAAGTAGAATAAGGATTTATAAAAGCTTAGCATACTTATTGGCAAAACCAAACGTTTTCGTTGTTTCGCAGTCGCGCCGTGCCGTTTTCCCAAAGTCCCTGTCCTCTCCATTTCCTTTTAATTAATCCTCATCCCTATCCCCCAGTCCTAACAGTCTCAAATTGTATTGCAATAAAATGTTTTGAATTCTTCACATAGGTACCTAACATTGACATGCCACGTCCAGAATCGTGGACCGCTAAATGCTTCAAATCTCTTCCTTCCCAATCTGACAACATCCCATGTCTCAAATGCACATTGTGTGGAATGATTTTTCAGGCTGCCCGTCAGTCTCTGACTCTGTCTAACCGAAACCGTCACATGCATGATGCAGGTAAGATATTTATTTCTATTTCCCTATGGTTAATATGTTATTGATGCATATCATCCATTAAAATAGACATGATGTAGGGTAAATGGCCAAATCACGAACACTACCAAAATCCGAGCAGCCAACTTTCAACTGCAATACCTATCTGATATTGAGTGTAAATGGAGTAGGAATATGGCCAAAATTAAATTGACAACTTTTAGGTGAAAGGTGGTGATTTGGGTTAAGGGGCGAGTCAACTACTGGGCCATTTTGCACCCAATAAATGACACTTCTGCTCCAATTCTACCCATTGAACCTCAATATCATGATCCACCTGTCCATCACTAGGTATCCTTCCTTATTACATAGAAAGGTTGAATGCCATGGCAATTTATAATTTTAAATGACAATATTTTTATGTTTCTTCTGTAGGTAGGTAGGTAGGTAGGTAGGTACACCAGACTGCTATGGACACTTTTCCAAGTTGGTGGGGCAAAAAAACCTAATGTATGTCTTGGTTTGAGTCGTTTGATTGAGTTGATTGATTTCTTTCATTGTCGCGTTTGAGTCGATTGAATCAATTCCCGAAAACTGCTCTGACTTGATTGATTTGATTGGTTTCCCAAATTTGTCGTGATTGAATTGATTGCTATTGATTGAGTCGTATACAACCCTGCCGGCACTAGAACGCCGCATTACCCGACCACCACCGCATCAGGGCAGCTGGCTGGACGTTTAAACGGAGCCCACTTCACCGTCAACTTCGGATAATGTGCTGCGGAATTTATTGAATCGAATTTATCTTTTTTACTTAGAAGGCATTCTTAGAAGACTTATTCAATGACGATGGTGTAGTTTGCTTTCCTGCTGTAAAACGAATTTGGCACTTCTCCCTTGAAGTTACCGTACATTATCACCGTACATTATTCACCGGAATTATTCAAACTGGTGACAGCAACCCGTGAGCATGTGTAAAGTGTCGTTAGGCAATTTTTGTTTTCATAAATTGCACACTTCGAAAAAAAACTATCAGAACAGATTTGCGAGAGCAAGACATTTTAACGTTGAGTAGGGAAGCTGGTGCCCATTTAACCTTTCTTCGAAGCAATTTCATTTTAATTGGATGAGGCTTTGAAACAATTCAGCCACCCGCTTAGACCTAAGAAATATGTTGATCTCATAATAACACTTACAAAGTGGTTGCAGGATCTGGCCAAAGATATTGAGGCACAACATAGCAGTGGTGAAGATAAACTTGCTGTGTTGTAACTTGACTTCAAATGCTAGCAGCTTGGATCAGTACAATGGTGATTTGAGATTTCATCATAAGTTAACTCTTGAGGCGCCCTTAACCCCGCGGTCTCAATACATTTCTAAGACGCTTCTACGCCCTATTTAGCGCTAATGGCTCGTATCACACCTTCGTAAGCGAATCTGCCGCGACTCTAGAGATTTTCAGTGACATATTCAGCATATGCTTTACGCGAGCCTGCTTAAGAGATCTCTCACGCGAAATGGAATAAGTTGCGATGTTTTGCGATAATAATTTGCGATAAAGGTTTGGTCGCATTAAGTTTGCGCTCATCCTGCTGTCATGTATACAAACAATTAACCCGCGCCGTGCTGGGGGCGTTTTTACGCCCCTCCCCCTCAGGCTTTTCGCAAACATCTAAAAACGGCGGCGTGCCGCCGTGTTTGGTACACCTGTTCACACATCTTTTCCGCACATTTTGTGAAAATTTAAGACCCGGGTCCTTCATGGTCAGGTCACCAGGCCACGTCAAGTGATCTTAACTCAGAAAAAGTTCAAAGGTACACCGAATGAACAACCACTTTGAAACTTTCAGCGATTGATAAGACTAAGAGTAACATTATGAGTAAAATGTATATCTCGGATCTTTTTTATATGTGTGACCTAAGGTCAGGTCAATTTTGCGACCTCTATTAAAAGTCAACAATAGAAAATTGAAATACCCCTCTTTTGGACGAATGTCGTTCTATGCCCTCTCAAACATCGGTTCATAGGTACACATGACACCCTGAATCGGAAAAATGCACCTGTGACCCCTCTGTGCGCCCTTGAGGTCATCTCAGGTCATGAAAGGTCACCAGCAGCTTTATTACTATAACTTTTGATTTAGACGTGCTAGAGCTTTGAAAACGCGTCCAGATGAGTTCAGCTCGACGAAACGGATCGACTGGTATGCAACACGACCCTTCCCGGTTAGGTCATGACCTCGACCTGAGGACGACTTTTCACAATGACCTTACAAGGTCAGCTTATAGTTCGTTCGACGCGTCTCGACGAGAGAAACACGATGCTTGCAGAAGTAATGTTGTGGCTCTCTTGAGTCAGCAGTTATTACGGAAAAACCTTGTTTTTGTGAAAACTGCTATTTTTATAGTTTTTGCGCTCTGGAGGCTAAACCGTTGACCTGAGGTCAAATCTGAGAACAAAACGCAGAAAGGTCTGTAAAAGTGCTATCGAATGCGCTCTTCTGCGGTGCTGTAGCTCTATTGGTTCCCGATTTAGCCGTTGGCATTTTCCAAAATTGTTGAAATAGGCTAAAATTGACCTTTGATGACCTCTGGTGACCTGACCTTTGACCTGACCTAAAAAATGACCGAAGTCATTATTTTTGACGCTCTTTAGATTGCCGCTTACCGCTTGTCATTACGTGGCCCAGGAGCCGAGTTAGACAGGGGGAGGGCGTGAAAACGCCCCCCCCCCCGCAGCACGACACGGAAAACTTGGGCAACCAGCACGGCGTGGGTTAAAACAAATAGTTGATCACATCTTGACGCTTGTCAACTTACCTAAAAGATCCCACTCCCCGTTGGGTATAAAGCTAGAAGTATCACCTTCCTCTCCACTCATCACCAAATCCAACTGAAATAAACAAACGCATATGTTAGTGCTGTTGAGTGTCAGAGAGGGAGGGCGGGAAGAGAAAGGAGACAAGATACAGACAGACAGAGAGACAGACCGATAGACAGGCCGACAAACAGACCGATAGACAGACAGACAGACAGACAGACAGACAGACAGACAGACAGACAGACAGACAGACAGACAGACTGACAGACATACTGCAATTGACTGACTGATATGCCATACGAAACACGAACACAACGCAAAGTGTTATGCACACTACTTGTCTTATATATACTTCAGAAGTTTAAATAATTTTGATATTTGTCGTTTCCTACATAGTGAATTAATTATATTCCCTGCGTAAGCGCCTAGTGCACACCGTAACGAGAGACTAGAGTCTTTACCAGTATCGTAAAAAAATGGGCCGTTGTTGACCATGCCAAAATAATTCAATGACGGGACGGGACATTCTGAACACTCGTAGAGTGCCTGCATGCGGTTTAATTTTTGTATTCATGCTGTGCTCCTCTGCTTCATTTTGAGGTTACGATTAGTGCCATTAAACGGGGCACAATTTAACGCACCAGTTGTTTCCGAAATTTAACTAACAAAACGGTTTTCGTATAAAAGACATTGACAACTACCATTGAATTCCTTTTTAGATGTCTTCCTTGAAAATTGCCCTACTTTTACAAGAGACAAACGTATCGACTTACTGTCAGTGAGGAATGGGAAAGAGAAGGGAGCTAACTGGGCCAGTGTTCGCCCCATTAAAGCTCTGTGCGTCAGTCCATTAGCCATCCGTCGGCGCCCATTACAGAGCGGCTACTCTGTGTTTTGTGCGATGAGTTACGTCGCCAGAGCGACCATCATGATGGCGGCTTTTACGTCCACTATTTATGGAGATTCCCCTGTGAGGGGAAGAAGTCTACGGAGCAGATCGGTTACCGCTTCAGTGGCGCCGCTGTTCCGCTCGAGGTGAGCTGCCACGGATATGGCAGTATTAAGGGCGACAGGCGAGATCCGTTTCCGTCAAATGTGGCATCGTAGCCCTATTACCCGGATATTGAATTCAATGTAATCTTGTTGCAATAAAACGACATCAATCTGACCGTCAGTGATAAGTGGGATGCTTTCTTGTCTTTCTTCGTACCTGTTTTCGATGCCCATGCCCCAATTAAGCGTGTGTCTATCCGTAACCCGACTGCTCCTCCCGTCTCCGTCGCCACTCGAGATCTCATGTCCCAACGTCGCGCTGCGCTCCGCCATTTAGGCCGCAACTCGAGCGAGTACAAAACCCTTAACCGCTCTGTCCGGGCGGCTTTGCGTCGCGACCGGCGGGTGGAACTACAGAGGGAAATCGGGGAACGGGGCCCCAACAAAGTTTGGCAATGTATCAGGTCGGTGGTTGCCGGTAAGAAGGATGGTCCTGATGTTCAGCCTGACCTATCTGCCAATGACTTAAATTCTTTCTTTGTATCCGTCGGTCCTCGTGTCGCTGCCGAGATCCGAGCCCAAAACGCACCTACCGATTTGAATGTACGTCTTACCCGTGTTGGCGCATGCAGTTTTCAACTTCGAGAAATCACACTTGCCGAGCTTGAGCGGACGATTTTCAGTATGCGTAGCTCGGGTGCTTGCGGTACCGACAGTGTCTGCGTTCGCATGCTGAAAGCCGGATTCCGAGCTATTGGTGGCGTCATCCTGCATATTATCAATACCTGCTTAATTCAATCCGACATCCCCGATTCATGGAAACATTCCATAGTTCACCCTCTGTTCAAATCCGGCAATCCTTCAGACCCCGCAAACTTCCGGCCCATTTCCCTGGTTCCTGTAATCATGAAAGTGGTTGAGCGCATTGTCCATCAGCAGCTCTACATCTACCTCTCTCACAATCACCTGCTGGCATCCTCACAGCACGGCTTCCGCCCCTGGCACTCTACTGAAACCGCGTTGTTGTCCGTCACTGAACGCATCCTGGCCGCCACCGACAGGGGGGAGATCTCAATGCTATGCCTTCTCGACCTTAGTAAATGTTTTGACGTGATAGACCACGAGCTTCTGATGCAAAAACTTATGCTGCACGTTATCGAAATTTCCTGGTTCGCCGCCTATCTTCATGGACACACCCAGAGCGTGTCGTTGAAAAATGGGTCCGGAAGTAGAGTGCTGTCTCGGCCTCTTCCTAATACCATGGGTGTCTTCCAGGGCTCTGCGTTAGGTCCGTTACTTTTCACCATCTTCTCTAACAACCTATCGCTGTACGCGGGTGATGCAGTAGTCTTTCAATATGCCGACGACACCCAAGTATTGGTTAGCGGTCCTGCCAGGGACCTTGGAGTTCTCATCTCGCGCATGGAGGTTTCGCTCGCGTCACTCAACGAATGGTTCTGCGCTAACGCCCTGAAGGTCAACGCCAGTAAAACACAGCTCATTGTCTTCGGCAGTCGTCAAAATTTACGCAAATTGCCAGATTTCAGGGTATCGTTCCGTGACGCAGCGTTGCAGCCGTGCGCGCAGGTGGGGAACCTGGGCGTCACTTTTGACAGTACTCTATCCTGGGACGCTCACGTCTCCGAACTCAGTCGCCGGTGTACGGGACTGTTGATCGGTCTCTCCCATGCGCGCCACAGTCTCCCGGATGGCATCATTAGAACGCTCGTGACAGCACTCGTTATCTCACGCATCCAGTACTGCCTCTCAGTTTATGGCAATGGGTCCCAAAAAAATTTCGATCGTCTCCAAAAAATTTTGAACTTCGCTGCTAGAGTCATTTTCGGTCGCCGTAAATTTGCCCATGTCTCTGACCTGCGAAAAAAGCTCGGGTGGCTGTCCCCGCGTCATATGGCTGATTACCAAACCCTTGTTATCGCCCACAAAGCCATTCAGCGCGGCGAACCCGAGGAATTGGCAACCATGTTCGTCACAAACAGCGCTGTCCGGGAGAGACACTCCAGGCAAGACCACCTCTTTCACCTTCCGCGACCACGGCTGGAAACGGGTAGGCGGCGGTTCGGCTATCGAGCCGCTGCTCTACTCAACAGTCTCCCAACTCAGCTGTCGCAGCTGTCTCCCGCCCGCTTTGCCCGATCTGTTAAAGCCGCGATAGTGGACGGGGCATCAACTGATCGTCGCTGACCAACGGGTTGGTGGGTGGGTGAGTTGTACCTGTGGCACTACGAAAGTGTCTCAGTCCGTGCTTTGACGTGAGTGAATGTGTGAATGCTGTGAATGTTTAGATTAGTAACCGCGGATACGGATTCTGAGCAGTAATCGCCACGCACTTTTAGAATGTGGATCGCTCATGATTGTTCAATACAATACAATACAATACCAAATCTCAGGTACATTACACCGGTTTCATAACAAAATTACTTCTAATATAAGTTGTCTGCTTTCAATGAGGCTTCCCTCACTCATTCTTAATGACGCTTAAACTAAAATCATCAACCCCCAGAGCCAAGCGAAAAAATCCTAATGTTCGGTTGCAAAGATAAGGATCAGCGTTCGCTCAACGCTACTGCAATTTGCAAAGTGAGACTTGAAGACGCATTTAGATCGCCCCACAGATGCCTTGCTTTGGATACCTTCCCATTCCGCGAACCCTTGCAACCTCGGAGCTTCAAAGCTACAGACACAGCGACTGATGCATGCCGGTATAAAAGGGCTGAGGTGCACTTCTTCCTGTCGTAAGGAGCTACGCCGGGGCACAGTGCACCATCACAGCCACACTAATGATCCAACTTCACCACATGGGAGCGCCACGATAGCGACACAAAGTTTCGACCGCCTTTTAAAAGATTGCTCCCGTTAAAGCCCTCGTGGTTTGTGGCGCGGCACTCTGGAATCGTCAGAGTCTGTGTACAATGACAGAATCGTATTACGTGACGAATCAAAAACCTGGCCTGCACATTGCGCAATACTTACGAATACGAGTAAAGTAGGTATTAGTTTTAGTGGAAGGTCCGGCAAACAAGTGATACGGTGATGAAAAAGTGCTATATTCACGGTGGTCTGCATAAAGTTATATTTTTAAAATACGTCTGAGGCAATATTCTAATGGTAAAACTACGTAGTAGGGGAAAATATCAAATCTAACCTCAATAATGATATTGGTTGATCTTGCCTGGGGAATTATAATGTACTTACCACGCACGCATGCAACGATAGCGATTTATATGCGAATGCAATATAAAGGGTGAATAATAGACGACGAATCAACGGCAAAGCTCCAAAGCAGTTTTCATTATCCCCTTTGTGAATAATGGAAAAGACTCAGGAATATTTGACCCGGAGGCCAAATTGAGTGTCAAATAAGATATTGAACACCGATTTAAATTCCATTGAACTAAGCTCAGCACAAAGATCTCCTGCCATGCATCTTTTGGATAATATGCTATGGCAAATAGTCCATTTTTATAGGGGGAACGCGCAAACGTGTACCGCTTAGCGAATTGAAGCCAGGACTTTGGTGACGTTACGGTGTTCCTAGTTGTCTTTCAGTAAACTCTTCCAGCCATCGCAATAATATCACCTCAGTTGGACCGCATCACTTGGACACCAGGGAATGTTACCCAAATACAGCTGAGCGTCAGCACCTGCTCTTTCACATGGCGATTGTTATCAATAATAGCATGTGAGGTCACAAATGCCTCGGTATGTTATCGCTGATGCAGTCAGCGCCAATGCACTATCGTCAGCTGGATTCACTCAGCTGTCGAGGCGGCATAACGCAATGCAACAGCGCTCAGGCAATCCTGTTCGTTCAGGTAGCCTTCTGTACATCTCTGTAGCCTGTATCGAAGCTCCGGCCCGGCGCTGCGGAGCGCCTGGGAAGGTCCCGCGCCGCGCCGGCTGTCGACCCGGCCGGCTCCAATCAGAACTCCGCCGCTGGGAAGTGGGAACAATGGGAGGTGTGTGTCGCACGCGCGGCCGCCCGGCGCCGCCACCCGCCCGTATTGATCGTCACATTCCCACCGGAAGGCACATTGCAAAAGTTGCCGGCCGGCG